GCAGGATGGGCATGGGGCTGGCCAAGCCAGGGTGGTCCCTGAGCTGTGGGGTGGCCCCTGAGCTGTGGGGTGGCCCCTGGGCTGTAGGGTTCCCCCTCACCCTCTGGGCTTTGCACACAGGCCTGGAGAGCCCCCAAAAGCAGCCAGAACAGGGGGATTTTTCCCGTCCATGAAGCACCTCCACATCATATAACCTCTGTGAGAGCAACAAACCGAGCAATGCTATCCTGGAAAAACTTTTATTTCCACTTCCATCACCAGCAAACATCCTCATTCCCGATAACAAAACCACAATTTCCAATAAAATGTATATAAATTAAAAGCAAGGGATGGACACAATAAATAAGTATAAATTGGGGTCACTCGGGCCCACAGGGCCCAGAGCTGCTATTTCACCTGAAATAGATGGGGAGGACAGAGGTCCTGGCTGGGGGGTTTGTACTCGGTACATACAGCCTGAAAACCAGCAACTGCCGGTTGGGTTGGGTGCAGGGCCTCCTCAGTGCCCAGTCAGCTCGTAGGTGGCAATGTTGACCTGGTCAGGCTGGTTGGTGACACCGACGGGCTGACGGGGCTGCAGAGAGGTGCAGATGAACCAGCCCGGGAAGGCGGCTGACTCAAAGCGGGTGGTGCCCTCGGCTGGGCTGTCCAGGCGGTAGAAGATGAAGCGGATCAGCTCCACACTCTCAATGTCCCTCCTGATGTCAGCTTCCTGCAACCGGGGGGTGAAACAGGGTTCAGTGTGGGTTGAAGCCCCCAGCCCAACAGGGGATGGAGCCAGTGGGACCCCTTGCTCACCTCCAGCTGCAGAACGGGCTCAGCACCACTCATCACGCATGACATGTAGAGTTGGTAGCCCTTGATGCCCAATGCCACTGGCACCCGCCCGGTCCCCAAGCCGTTCTGCGATGACCGGGGACGGTACAGAGCGATGTTGAGCTTCACTGTGGACAGAAGGGATGGGTTAATGGGTGGCCCCAGGGCTGTGGGGTGGCTCCTGGGTAGTCCCAGGGTTGGGGGTGGAGACATTGGGTTGGGACCATGTCCCCTCACCTTTCCGCCCAGCAGAGGGTCCTTGCAGGTGCAGGGCCACAAGCTGGGTGGGCGACTCCAGCACAAAGCACTTGTGGTCAATGTCAAGGATGTCGAAGGACTGGGAGCGGGTGTAGCGGTAGACAGGCGCCGCGGCGTAGCTACCCTCGATCCGCTGAAAGGAGACGGGGTCTGTGTGGAGAGAGATGGTCAGGGGGATGCTGATGCACCCGAGTCCAACAGAATCCTTCAAGAGCATGCCCCGGCTGGGGTGACACCACCGACACCACGCCCCCATACCGAGAATATCATCCAGGAAGCCCCCAAGGTCACTGTCAGAAAAGTCCTTGTGCGCTGACCGCTTCAGGAGCTTAGTCATGGCCACCACAAGGATGGCGGCCCGGCGAAAGGTCCTGGTGGGATGTTGCTTGGTCACCATCACCTGGATGCCCACCCTGGGCGATGTCACCTCTGAGTCCAGGCGGGGTTTCTGGGGAGGGGAGGGGACATGGAGTGAGAGCCTGGCTTCCCCACCACAGGGGTCCCAGGGCCTTTCCCGCCACCCCAGCATTACCTTCTGCAGGCAGAGGCAGTCAGGGCCATAAAATGTTTCCTCATGCAGGCTGGAAGGAAAAGAGAGATGGTGAAGTCAGGGCCACCATGGCACCAGGGTGGCATCACACCCCCAATACCCCCGCCGGCACAGCCATGCTTATACCTGCCGCTCTCCAGTGTGTCCAAATTGGGGACGAATGCCATCTGTGCTGCTGACTGCAAGAACTGGGCAGAAAACCTGTTGGTACCTGTAGAGTGCCGCGGTGCTTGGCTGCCTGCTCCTGCCAGCAGCGTCGCTTGGGTGCTTTCTGAGCCTGGTGTTGGAGTGGCAGGTTTTCAAGAGCCACTGGAAGGAAACGCCGTCAGAGTGGGATTTCCACCTTTCGCAATGCCTGGGTTTGCTCAGTTCCTCCAGTGAGACCGGGAGGGCTGGGGGGCTGACTGCACCAGAGCAGTGCCATGGAGCTGAGCAAGGGGCCATGCATGGGGCAGAGCAGGGGGCATGCTCTGGGGCTGGTGTGTGGGGCAGAGCAGGAGTGATGCTCTGGGATTGGCATGTGGGGCAGAGAGTAGGGGCGATGTCTGGGGTCAATGTGGGGGGCCGGTGCTCATGTGCTGGCCCTTGGCATCTGGGCTGACCCAGCAGGGACTGCCCCAGCCTCACCAGGGCCGGGGGCTGCG